ACAGGAGTTCTTTAAAAAGTTTCTAGAAGAACATGGAAAAATTATTTTATAATCTTGGAGTACATATGGCATTCTAGGTAAGAGAGAAAACTAAGAAACCATAAAAGACGAGATTGATAAATTTGATTACATTAAAAAAAACAACCTGAGAAAATCACATAAGACAGAACAAGTAAATTGGGAGAAATATTTGCTTTTCACATCACAAAGGGACTAATTTTCTAATAAAGAGCTCCTGCAAGTCTGTAAGAAAATGTCCAACAACCCAGTAGAAAAATGGACAAGGGATGGAAATAGTCTATAGGAAGGGAAGTAACAATGGCTTTTAAACATATGGAAAGATGCCTAACTCATTGTAGGAGATATGCACATTACATCTGGACTGATGTACCATTTATCATGGTTAGATGGACAAAGATTAAAAAGTTTTATAACCTATGCTATAGAGACTATGGGTGCAAAACAATAGTCTGTTTAGTGGGCACTTTGGTAAAATCTATAATATGAAAAACCTTATATTTCTTTGACTAGGATTTTAGTTTTAAAAATTTATTCTAGATACAAATACATCATCCTAGATATACATACATATGTATATACTATGAATGTGTCCTGCATATACTGTACATATATATTATGTGCATGAGAAAATGACTTATGTACAAAGATACTCATTATAGTAATGTTTATAATGGCTAAAGATTGGGAACAACCTAATTTTTCATAATGGGACATTGAATAAATTTCATGATGTTATAGCTGTACATTAGAAACTGTGCAGTCATAAAAATTACCAGTTTGGAAAAGTGTCAATATATGTTGTTTGGAGAAAAATGCAAGGCAAAGAACAGCATGTATAATATGTTTATTTATGTAAAAAAAGATATGTAGAAAGTGTTTTGTTTATATATGAATAGATACAGCTTCTGGGAAAGATAATTTGGTGGCTGAAGACATTCACAGGGTCTTCTCAAAAAAAATTGCATGTAGCACATGCCTTGCACTTGCAGTTATTACATGTTAGTGGTAGTTGTTATTTTCATTGTAGAAACGGGGTTCCTTTGCCTCATGAGTTGATTTTTAACAGTTGAATCTGGAAGAGGAAGCCCATCTCAGTGTAAATATTGCCTAATGGGTGTCATATTCAGGTTTTTTTCTTGAAGAATGCTATGTGTACTTCCTGAACTATGTTTCTTGGAGGATGTCAGTACAAGCTCTACAAACCAAAGATGACAAATAATCTTGGGAAACATTGGGCTAAACAAAACTAAGCAGGCTTCCTTTCTCTAGGTCTTCTTAATGCCTTAATATACAAAATGTACTTTGTGAATATTCAAGAGGGACATTTAGAATGCAGCATTTTTCAAATTTATTTGATTACAGAACCTTAAACAATGACTACTATTTTGTTTTTTTACAGAAACATCTTGTGAGTAGTTGTCATGTTGGGAAACATCACTTTAATACTTGAATTTGTTTTTTTTCGCTTTCATTATTCAGTTTAATAAATTGGTATTCTTGGTGTGCATTCCTAAGATGCATGTGTTCCCTGCAGCTTTCCCTCCCCCGTTATATGCTCCAACTCAGTCATTTGTTCTGCAGTTGAGACCATTTAAAAGTCACCCAAACTACACTGGGTTTTTTGGGTAAAAAAGAGAATTCTATATAATTAATGTGAAATCTCAGGGATTAATTCACTGGAAATCGAAGATTAAAGCTTTGATTTAACTTTTCCCAAAGGTTTAAATGGCGGTGTTGAGGGGGAAGAATGTAATCAACTCAGTGGGTTGATTGTTGAGAAATTGTGCGCTCCATGTGAAGAAGACAGCATTACTGCTCAAGTTAGAAGATATGTCATCTACCTCTGTCTTTATCTTTTATCAACTATTTAATTTTGAACAGGTCACTTTTCCTCCTTGTGCTTCAGTTTTATCATCTGTACAATTTGATTTAGGTGATTTAGGGATTTGATTTAGGTGATTGGTATGGGTCCACCCATTTTAAGACTCTCAGTTATTATTAGTGTGCTGAATGGAATCAGTGAAGATTGTGGGCCTGTGTAGAATGTTTTGTTCTACTATGCAAGGATCCACATGTGAATATAATGTGTTACTTGTCTCAGTTCAGTCCTTTTGGAGAATGAAATTATTTAATAATTAGCTCATTGTCAGCTTCATGTATTTGAGAACTTGTTGAATTGTTTGAGACTTCTTCATTGGCTGATTTAATTAGCCTCCAGGAAAGCACTTGATTATATCACAGATCAATTAATATAATGCTATGGATAATCCATGCCTCTCATATAAATGCCCCTGCATTTGTTTCTCTGATGTACAGAAAAATCATGATGTAGATATTAATTATCCACCCCCCCCCAAAGTATTCATTTGGTGGCTTTGCTGTGCTTTTATGTGCTCTGCCTATTAGCATATTTCTGAACTTGACACAGTAGAGGTCTGAATTCACTGAATTTATGCCATCTGGAAATGAGCTTTTAAATTTTGCTCCTCTGTTGAAATTAGGGACGTGACATAGCTATTACACAGAAGTACTGTGAGCCTGAATTTGATTTTATTATGTGGAGGTAAAATGTTTTGTTAGAAGGAAAGTACTTGCTTGGGGAGAGATTTGAGTATGACTGAATTGTTAACTGCCAACTCCCCCAGCCCCCCTTTTTGGCAGGATACATATTTTGTTTTTAAATGAGATGACAACCAAGAGAATTATTAAGACCCAGTGAATTTTAAGAGAGTTCTTTCAATTTACTTGAATTCCATTTAACCTTGCTTTCGATGTCATTCTGTGCATTACTGTCAAAGGACTCAGCTTCCTTTGAAGTCACGAAGCGTTGCTGCTGGCGGAATCATGATGGTAAAATACAAGAGTGGTTCTTAATAAAGCCCTTAACTGATACACAGCAATGCCTTATTACCTAAGTAAAGGCATACGGGTGTGAGTGCCTAAAATTGTAGAGTGTAAGGGGAGGATATATGATAATGGACACTGAGATGGGAGAAGTATTTCTCATGAATTAGGGATGCCCTTTCATAATTCACGAATTGCAGAATGAGGAAAGGCTTGAAATCACCTGAAAAGCATCTGGAAGCAATCTGTAATTCTTAAGAGGCATCAGTAGTGCCTGTATCTCTCCAGTATATTATGATAAAACTGTTCATGTGGGATTATGGAAGAAGTAGAATTTTGTTACTTGAAAAACCTCTTGCAATTAAATGCCCAGAGATTTGATTATAAAGTGATACTGCTCATTCTTAGATACTTAATGATTAATTGATTAGAGTGAAGAAGGCTGATTTGAGGGTATTGAGAAAATTTGAATATGAAGAACTTATTTATTTGCATGTAAAATGTTATCCTTTACTTTTTAAACTCCACTCTTCTCATGCCTGGTCACTATCACCACAGTGCCCAGTTTTGAAGAGTTAGGTCACATTGTGTGTCCCTCCCGCCAGTTTTTTTTCCTTTCATAAAATGTTTGTTATAACAAAAGGTATTCTAAGCTTTTGAAGCCATCTATAGGTTAAACACACACACACACACACACACACACACACACACACACACACACACACTCGAACTATCTCTTATAGAGACTTCTGGGGAAATATCTTTTATTATATTGGACTATTTTAGAAAAATTAGTACATCAATGAGTGGCTCACCCTTTGGGTCTTGGGAGATTCTTGCTATATAGGAAATTTGAAAAGACATTTGTTGTACGAGCCTCTGACTTGAATTGCTCACTTTAGCCCATCTATAGTTTGGGAAATATTTTACTTGATATTTATATCAGAAGAAATTGTATCTTGTTTATTTCTTTTTGTATAAGTAGTTATAATTAAAACATTATACTCTGATTTTACTTTCTTTATATTATAAATTACATTTTTACATTTTATTGTAAACTTATAAAATTTTTATTTTATTTTAAAATTATTTTTAAAATTGATAGATACAATTGTATATATTGTGTACAACTTGATGTTTTGAATTATGTATGTGTATATATATATTTATATATGTACATTGTGGAATGAGAATTTTTTTAATGGCTGACAGAATTGTGATTAGTTATGTGGTTGTGGCAAATTTACTTGACTGTTTCTCAGTTATTGGCATTTAAATAGCTTCCATGTTTTATTAAGTATAGTATTTATTGCTTTCTTAAAAAATGTACTTTCTTAAAAATTTTCTCTAGCTTCCACCTATTGTGATGTTCAATAGTGCCTTCTTGTGGTTTTGTTTCATATTTACATTAGCTTCTGCCTTTTGTACTGAGTGTTAGTCTTTTTAGATGTTCTTATTGCTGTCTTGGACACCTCTAGCTTTTGTTCTGTATATTTCTTTCAGGTAGGATAATTTACCAGCCCACTTCTCTTCAAACTCATGTTTTTCTGGTTGTACAGGAGTAAACCATGCATTTGTGTTGTGAAACTAATCTTGCTAGTTAGCACTGATAATAGGTGATGCACGTCTAAAACCAAAGTGGACTTTGCTCATGGGATGGCAAAAAACGGACCTTTCAGGTGTATCTAGATAAGTCCAAGGTACCAGAGAATGTTTGGGAGCATTATACATTTTTTATAAAAGTTATTTGTGATTCTTTCTTTGCTATTTTATATTACATTATCATTATTATCTTAATGTAATTCTTTTGGTCTATGGATGTGGATTTATTTCACATTGTTTTTCCTCTCCTAAAGGAAGCATATAATTAACATCTCTTCGAATATGGAAGAATCCCTCTCTATTTTCTGTTACCCAGTGGGAGTTTCTCATTTTTGGCTAGCATTCAGATTGCTAAATAAAGATTTGCTTTTTGCTTATTTATTTATTTATTTTTAGATAAAGACAAATGCAATCTGAGGAGAACCCACTCAATGTTCAACAAATAGTGATAAATTAGAGGGGAGGAAAAAGATTGAGAAACTGAGATTGGATTTTGTACCTTATTGTGGGACATTTTTTATTCCTTTCTATAGATTTCAAAAGTCTTCTGGAGGTTTCTAGCAGAGCCAAATGTTGGAGAAATCTTTTCCACTCCTCTGAAGGGTGAAGTGAGTAAATACAACCCAGCAGTAGGCTATTGAAGAAAGCAATCACAGGTAATGTCGTCTTTTCTTGCTACTATTGATATGTGTTCAGTAATGTCAATAATATATTATTTTTTTTAAAACAAGCTTATTTCAACTTATACATCCAGGTGGACATTATCTTGTTTAAAATAATCTTTTTGAGAGGATACACTGTATCCTCTACCCAAAGCATTTTTAGAATCTTTCTTTGGGAACTGCATCATGATCCTCTGGTAGCATTCTTTTAAGCATCCTGTTTTCTATGGTGGCAAATCTCAACCCTATAAGTGTGTATTTGGGAAATAGGCAAAACTCATTAAGAGCTTGGGTGATGAATCTAGGGTATTTTAATTTTGATAAAAAACAAGAGGCTGGTGACGGTGGCTCACTCCTGTAATTCTAGCACTCTGGGAGGCCCAAGGCAGGTGGGTTACTCAAACTCAGGAGTTTGAAACTAGCCTGAGCAAGAGCGAGACCCCATCTCTACTAAAAATAGAAAGAAATTAATTGGCCCACTAAAAATATGTAGAAAAAGTTAGCTGGGCATGGTGTTGCCATGCCTGTAGTCCCAGCTACTTGGGAGGCTGAGGCAGAAGGATTGCTTGAGCCCAGGAGTTTGAGGTTGCTGTGAGCTAGGCTGATGGCATGACACTCTAGCCAGGGCAACAGAGTGAGACTCTGTCTCAAAACAAACAAACAAACAAAACAAAACAAAAACAAACCAAGAAGGAGCAATAACATAAAGAAACCAGTTTTTCTTTTTGTGATTTGTGTGTGTGTTTGAAGGCTCATACATTGTATTAAAAATTAATTCTAAGAAGAAATGACTGTGAGTTTCAAACAATGGTAGTTAAAACAATTGATCAGGCTTCATAGTTTACATAGTTTACAGAGAGGCATATGTTATTTATTTGGCTCTATAAATGTTGGCATTCTTTTTTATTAAAATCAGTCAACAATCAATCTGTCAGCATAGTAGAAAGGTTCCTGTATTAATCAGATTAAATAAAATGAGATCTAAACTTCCTTATAAGGTATACCTCTAAGGCTTTATAATTTGCCTCTTATAAATGATCCTCCGGGGGTGTGTTTTGCAATGTTTCTCACAATGCACTTGTTTCAAGTACATCATATTACTAGGCCCCAAACTAGTGTATCAGAATCAGAATGGTAAGGGCAGGGCTTGGGAATCTGCATTGTACATCTGCAGTGTCACCAAAGATTGACACCCTGATACAGTAAAATCAGATCTCTACTTAATCTTTGTGTGTGTGTGTGTGTATGTATGTGTGTGTGTATATATATAAAACTATTATATAGTTTTTTACTGGATTTTGGCTTTGAATAAAACAGTGACAATATTTTTGGCATATTATTTTGACACAGGGTTATGTTCTCCAGTAGTTATTAATTAATAGATCAAATTGAAAATAACTATACTTTAAACTTTATGTCTAAGTTTGAAATGGATATATTTTCCTGGATACAAATGGATAAATGTACTTTTGACACCCAGATGCCAAATATTAACTTATTAAATATCTGCTTTTCAAATATGCTGATAAGTTAAACCTCAGGTCTATTAATCAAGTTGAGGGTAAAGAGAAATGGGTAGGCATTGGAGAACCCTGAGATCTATGCTATACAGCATCCTGTCCAGCATTTTTCAGTAAACATTGTGATGAAATTTTTGGTGCAATTTATGGTTCAAACAGACAAGATGCTTTCTTTCTAGTGCCCTGAGATTTTGTGAAACTTTTTTGAATCCTCCAAATGAAAGAATATTAACCTGAAATGAAGACAATAGCTTTTGATAAGTTATTTTCATTACATTCTTGTAACTCCATGTACATTCTTTGGTAATCATTCCTATAAATTTATTAGTTTTATAGAATGTACGCTTTTTGTATATAGAATTTTTTCTTTTAGATACATCTTTAGTTCTACAAATAAGTTATACCTTTACTTTAAAAGATATACAGGGTATCCCCAAAGTCACTATACATAGGGAAAATGGGAAATTGTAGCTAAATGTACCTTTATTACAAAATATTCATTGCAGAATTTTACAGAATTGTTTCCTCTATATGGACTATTTTGTAAGGAAAAATTTTATAAAATTTTTGTAATGAATATTTTGTAAAGGTACATTTAGCTACAATTTCCCATTTTCCCTATGTATGGCAACTTTTGGGATACCCTGTGTGTGTGTGTGTGTGTGTGTATGTGTGCGTGTGTGCATGTATAAAATATTAAAGCTTTTTGTATGTATTAGTATTGATAGATAATATACCTATAGTAAAATAAAATGTGACTACATATTTGTTAGTTAAAGCTATTAACATCAGATGCTTGTTTCTTTATTAAAATATTTTATTTATTGGTATGAAGTATTCCCTTAAGTTTATGCTCAAAAAAATTGTGGTAGCCGGGCACGGTGGCTCATGCCTGTAATCCTAGCACTCTGGGAGGCCGAGGTGGGTAGATTGCTCGAGGTCAGGAGTTCAAAACCAGCCTGAGCAAGAGTGAGACCCTGTCTCTACTATAAATAGAAAGAAATTAATTGGCTAGCTAATATATAGAAAAAATTAGCCGGGCATGGTGGCGCATGCCTGTAGTCCCAGCTACTCGGGAGGCTGAGCAACAGGATTGCTTGAGTCCAGGAGATTGAGGTTGCTGTGAGCTAGGCTGATGCCACAGCACTCACTCTATCCTGGACAACAAAGCGAGACTCTGTCTCAAAAAAAAAAATTGTGATAAAATACATATAACATAAAATTTACTATCTTAACCAGTTTCAAGTGTGCTAACAGTTCAGTGGGATTATGTAAATTCACATAATTCTGCAACCATCTATCATCATCCATCTCTGGAACTCTTTTTACCTTGTAAAACTGAAACTATATACCTGTTGAACAAAATTCCCCATTTCACCCTCCCCCTAATTCTTGGCAACCACCATTCTACTTTCTGTCTCTATGAATTTAACTACTCCAAATACCTCATATAGTGTTTGTCTTTTTGTGACTGCCTTATTTGACTTAGCATATATCCTCAACGTTTATCCATATTATATAATGTGTCAGAATTTCCTTCCTTTTAAAGGCTGAATAATATTTTATGGTAAGTATATACCATTTTGTTTGTCCTTTCATCCATCCATGGACATTTGGGTTACTTCCATTTTTTGACTGTTGGGGATAATGTGGCCATGAACATGGGGGTACAGATATCTCTTTGAGTCACTGCTTTTACTTTTTTTTTTGTGACAGAGTCTCACTCTGTCACCTGGGCTAGAGTGCCGTGGCGTCTGCCTAGCTCACAGCAACCTTAAACTTCTGGGCTCAGGTGATCCTCCTTTCTCAGCCTCCACAGTAGCTGGGACTACAGGCTTGGCACCACCATGCCTGGCTAATTTTTTCTATATATTTTTAGTTGGCCAATTAATTTTTTTCTATTTTTAGTAGAGACAGGGTCTCACTCTTGCTAGGGCTGGTTTCGAACTCCTGACCTTGAGTGATCCGCCCTCCTCGGCCTCCCAGAGTGCTAGGATTACAGGCGTGAGTCACTGAGCCTGGCCTCTGCTTTCACTTCTTTTGGATATATATCTAGATGCAGAATTGCTAGATCATGTGATAGTGCTATGTTTAATTTTTTTGAGGAATCACCATACTGTTTTCCATAGTGGTTGTATCATTTACATTCCCACCAGCATTGTACAAGAGTTCCAATTTCTCCACATCTTTGCCACACTTGCTATTTTATGTTTTTGTGATAATAGCCATCCTGATGGTATGAGGTGATATCTCATGGTTTTTATTTGCATTTCCCTAATGATTAATGATGCTGAGCATCTTTTCATATGCTTTTTGGCCACTTGTCTATCTTCTTTGGAGAAATGACTGTTGAAGTCCTGTGCTGTTTTAAAACTGGATTATTTGTCTTTTTGTTGTTGAGTTCTTTGTTTATCTGGATATTGCCTCTCTATCAGACATAGGATTTGCAAATATGTTCTCCCATTTCATACGTTGCCTTTTCAATCTATTGATTGTGTCCTGTGATGCCCAGAAATTTTAAGTTTTGACATAGTCCAGTTTATTTATTTTTACTTTTATTATCTGTACTTTTGGTGTCATATCCAAGAAATCATTGCCATATCCAGTGTCATGAAGTTTTTCCCCTATGTTTTTTTCTTCTAAGACTTTTATAGTTTTAGTTCTTATGGTTATTAGGTCTTTGATTCGTTTTCAGTTAATTTTTGTATATAGTGTAAGGTAAGGGTCTATCTTCATTCTTTTGCATGTGGACGTCCAGTTTTCTCAGTCCTGTTGAAGAGAAGTTTATACTTTTAAAGACAGTTTAGGATAAGGAAAAGAAAAGTTGACTATCATAAATAAGCTGTGTTGTATCTATGTAGAGATTCCCATAAAGTCCTGTTTCTAATTAAGGCATTTCAGAAACAAAAAAATATTGCATAACTTTGAAGCTCACCTTAGACTAAGATATAATAATTGTAATGAGACATAGAGCCTATGTTTAAGTTGTATGGTAGTCACTTAGTGGATAATGACTTTTTAAATTTGGGATTTGATTCTGACAAACTCTGAGTTTTGGTTTTAAGGTGGAGAGTGTGTGTGTGTGTGTGTGTGTGTGTGTGTGTGTGTGTGTGCACGTGCGCCCTGTTATAGGGGTTTTACAAGTTAACTCTGACCAATGAGAGATCCTCCAATATTTTAGGGAGCTTTAGTTTTAAGCAAAGTGAACAATATTATGGTAAAGAGTAGGCACTAATGGATCCTGTATAGCCATTTCAAACCATTTCACCTGTCTGTGTAGCGGAAGTTGTTTGGAATCTGTTCTTGTTGCCTCTTAGCTTTAGAAAGCAGTATGTGTGTTGACAGAATGATATTTACATTGATTTTGAAAAGGTCAAAAATCAAATATTGTGCCTTAGATGTGAGGTTATTTTGGGGTGGGCAGTAGGGTGTTGGGAGTGGGCTTTGTAGAATATAAAAGTACAAACATACATA